GTACTTCTAATGTTTTTTTTTTTTTTTTTTTTTTTTTTTTTTTTACTATTCCCTCTATTTCCTTTCCAACATCACTTTGCTATTCTGCAATAAACTTGCTTTTACTGGATATAGTTGACATATCTTCAAATGCAAGTTTTTTAGCAGGAGAAAGCTTAAAGGGATTTAATATTCTCCTCTTTGAATGGGCTAGAAATGTCAGCGTTCTTTTATTCATCAAGATGTTCTCAAAGGCCAACACTTTTTTACCACTCTTTGAAAGGTTCATTATGGCTATTGCAGCGTAGATATGTTATCTTTTTTGCTGTTGCATTTAGAAACATTTGCAAAACTACCTCTGTTAATGAAATATTCATTATGCTCTCTGACTGTGAGTAATCTTTGGTATATATACAAAACTTCAGAAATCATGAGTACGTCAGGGCAGAAATTAGCCTTAGTGTCTGCTTTTTAGAACTGAGGATATGTTGTTTTCTGTACTCATCTGGGAAACCCAAAGAGAGAAAAATCACGTCTACTAATGGTTCAGCATTAACCAGCACTGAAGTTAAGCCTAACAGAAGCCAAAAAGGCATGGAAGGTCTGCTGAGGCTTTTACTGTGAAACAAGATTTGTTTATGCAAGTGTCTTTCCAAAAATGTAATATTTTTTGCAGTGCTTTCGCTGGCATAGGAGTACCTAAAAATTAGTGAAAGAAAGTGAAAGGAAAAAATGAAACAAACTATGCTTTAAGGCCATGATGTGTGTCCCAGTCTTTATCTTCTCAATGTCTGTTTGGCCAGTCATATTGCAAAACTGTAACTACCGATCTGATGTGAAAGAACTGTCCTAACCGGGTTCTCATAGTTTTGTGGTACACTGGTTCTTCTACTGTACACCAGCACCCACACAATCCTGTACTATGTATTTCCTCTCCCTTTGCCCTGTAATTCATTCAAGCTACAATGCCTAGGTAATGCTTTTTAGATTTCCTGTTGCTTGATGCTCATTTAAGTACTATTTAGTAGATGTAGAATCACGCTTGAAAGTTGAGGAGAAAGTGTATGTGCCAGTAGCCTTTCTCAAAAATCATTGTCTTGCAACATGAATTCTTAATTACTGCTCTTGCTGGAAGTCAGGTATTCTGTTTCTTACCTGCTTATGAATGCTGCGACAATACCTGCCAGTTGCGAAGGTGCAAAGCCTGCTTTATGCAGTGTCTAAAACTGTTCAAAACTGCATTTGTCTGTGTAGTGGCAAGCATGACAGTTTGTTGAAAACCACGTCTAGTACCCTTTTTCTGATCACTGGATCAGCGTATGGAGCAAGGGGAAAAAATGCCAGTGAGGCTGAGCAGCGCTTGCTTCCTGGGCCAGCATAGACTCCAGAGCTGCTTCACGTAACTCCTACTATGAGAGAGCTCTGGACTGTGGTTTAATAGAACTATGGAAAATGAGCAAGGGCAAATGTACGTTGCAGTCGTTGTGGGTGTCTGATGCAAGCAAGCAAACAAACATGCAGGCTATAGGCTTCCCAAACATGTTTGGTCTTTACTTAGATAGTGAAATGTGAGAATGCAAATGATTTAGAAAACCCTTTTTCATCATCATAACTGGGAGTTGGGGAGAAGAGAGAAAATAGAGGGATCTTTGTGTTCAGGAAAGCAGGTTCTTCTTACACTGGGCCCTTCAGCACCTCTCCTCCCCTTGGCCTGGTGAGAAATGCATCCCTGTGTGCTTGTATTTAGGGAAAACATAGTTTAATCAGGGGATGAAGGGAAAATGAGGAATTTAATGCCATGTACTGATTTCTAAAGACCTTTGGAGCACTGTACTCCTTCCTCTTGTCTAGGGACACAAAGGCTACTATTGATACCTGGTGTTCAGTTGATCCTTGCACTGAATTTGGCCAGAATTCAAAGGTGATAGTTTCTCTTGCCCTGGAAACACAGTGGCATCTTTAAAACTTGTGCTTTTAGGGTGGCAGTTATTTGTTACTCTCCACAAGGGCAAGCCCTCTTAAGAGTGTGGGTTAAATTATGCTGAACTGGTGTTCATTAGATGGCAGTTTAGCTATGGAAAACAATGGTAATTCTCTATGAGTCTTCTCAGTCTGTCTAATCTACTTTAAATTGTTCTTGGCATTCCTGACGCCAGAAAAGAAGGTCTCAAAATCGAGGAGTTTCAGCTTTCAGCATTCATGGGATAGGGGCATGCACATCATACAAGTCTCTGTTAGCTGTTTGCCGTCTCGCCTTGCAGTTCTAAGGGAAACGCTGTGGTGGTTCTGTATGAACTGTTCTCAGTAGTGCAGCCATTTCTTGCAACATTTTAGACCTTCCCAAATCTCAATTAAATTTAGCTTGCAGTCACTGTTGACAACTGATCTTTTTGCTTTCACAGATGTTTTTTGGCTGTTTGAAGACTAGAGAAAAAAATATTTTGAGGGAGAAGCTATGCTGGAAGAAATCATATTCAGCTTCAGTCTCAAAATTACTACCAGCTTGCAATCTGAACCTTTGCTTTGTGCATTGCAAGCACTTGGAATCCTCTCCTGCCCAAGTAAATCTCTGTGAAAGGTATCAAAAGTTTCACATCTCTTTTTGGAGGAGTGGATGTTCCCGCTGTGGTTACAGTCAAAACGGTCAGAGGCTGATTGTTGAATATGGTCTTCCATGTCTAGCAGGAAGAAGGTTTGAAGAGGTCATTGTTTTCTTTTCAAGACAAATGTGACATGTTACTTCCCTGCTGTAGTGAAAGCATTTCTGATCGACTTGTTATTGTACGTTTTTGGTAAAGTATTCACATGTCATCTCATTCAGAGGACCCAGGTGTTCTTGAATACAAAGTTTTATTTAAAATGTTGGCCTTGGTAAGGAATCTGTCCAAGCATGTAGAGATTATAGCCCTCTAACTTGCAGACACCCACAAGAGCATTTGAAAAAAAGAATAAGGAAGGAAACAAGACAGCTTTTGTTTTGTTGCATCCTGTGGGTTGCACAGTGCTGGAATGCTGTTGTGGACTTAAGTTGAATTCCTCCTGTCAGGCAAAAACTTCTGATAAATTAACGAGTCAGGTGAGATATAAGGGGTCATCAGAGTGGTCATGCAGTCTGAACAGGTGATCATCAGAGGACCTCATGCTCGAAACAGTGTTCAAAATTGGTGTCAGAGTTGTCTTATGATAAAGTCGGTAAG